GTGGGGATGGTGAATATCTTTTCCCAGTCTGTGGGCTGCCATTTTGTCTGTCAAAATGCATCAAAGACCTCAACATAAATCCAGTTACACTGAACCTATTACAAGACAAAGTGGAAAATACACTTGAATTAATTGGTATAGGAGACCGATTGCTGAACATTACACCAATAGCACAGACACTGAGATCAACAATTGATAAATGGGAACTCCTGAAACTGAGAAGCTTCTGTAAGGCAAAGAAAGTACACATTTCTAAGAGCTTCTATTATTTTTAATTTCAAATACTGAGAGAAAATATGTTCCTTTTTCAATTGTTCATTTGGAAGCTTGTCTCCTAATAATTTTGTACAATTTTGTCAATTAAAATTTCACAAATTAAGTGTCTGTCATTTTTTTTCTAATGCAATCAATCTCAGAATAGTTCTATCAGTTCATTTAGGTGAATGGAGGGACAGATTATCTGTGCCAATCAGCAACTTCTGCTATTTACTTGCCTTAATTTTCCAAACACTCTAAGCTCACTTGTCCAGCTGTGAAGGTGTTACCATACCCGGTAAACTGAGGGCCAAGAATCACCTTGGATGTGAATGGCACCAACTCATGGGAAGAGGGAGGAGTGATAGAATAAAAAAGAAAACCAAGTAACTATCATAGTCTCCTCCTCTGTGGATGTGTGAGACAGGAAGGAGACTATCTAACTAGTCCCTGTGGCATGCTCTTCTGGCTAGTATATGGGACTAAGCAGCCATCTGAAACCTTCTGAAATTATGAGTCAAAATAATACTTTCCTTTTTATTTTCATCAGGTATTTTGTCATAGTGACAGTAAAACTAATAGAATTACACTTGCTCTGGGGAAGCTATTTACAGTGAATTAGGAGCATTGTTTTAAGTTCAGTGTTTCCATCACTGAAGTATAATATTTTTTGTGCACATGAATACATGTTCATAGAAAAGGAGAAGTTGTCCTTACTTTTTAAAAATGTAATTGAAACATTTTACACTTATTTTAAGTTTCTGTTTCATAAGTTTGAGTTATATTCAAATTTTAAAAATAAAATTCTAGGATTATAACAGAAGTAAAATGCCTTTATATGCTTTTAAATATGTACATACACTTTCCCTTTCTTCCTTTCTTTCTTTCTTTCTTTCTTTCTTTCTT